CATTCCTTACCTGAATGGTCCCAACGCCCCCGAGTTTTGTGACGCAGTCACGATTCCTCGTGGCGAGCACTTCGGCTGATAACCAGCTATTTGCCGAGTAGTGGCCAAACTGGGGATACTCATGTTCACAGATATTGGTTTATGCTGATATTTGTGTAATGTCGTTTTTCATGTATATCGTCCAATACTGGTCCCAAATTGAACCTCGGGGTTGGGGGCCTCCTTGTGGTTATGGCGATCGTGTCCGGTACGCGAATCTACGATCGGTGTATATGATCCAGGGTCGAGGGCCCACGGGCCCCCCCCCCAGATGGTATGGTCCCAGGATTCCTCGGGCCCCCCCCCACCAGATGGTATGGTCCCAGGGACGACGACGACGACGACGACGACGACGACGGCGACGACTACGACGACGGCGACGACGACGACGACCACGACGACAACGACGGCTGCGGCGACGACGCCGGCGGCGGCGGCGACGACGACGACGATGACGACGATGACGACGGCGACAACGACGATGGCGACGCCGGCGACGACGACGACGATGACGACGACGACGACGACGACGAGGACGACGACGACGACGACGACGACGACCTCTGAACCACCACAGCACCACACTACATCCACAGGGTGGGGGGAGGGGGGCACCGCAGCGCAGCACCACGCCACGCCCACCTCTGAACCACCACAGCACCACACCACATCCACATGGGGGGGGGGGGAACCGCAGCGCAGCACCACGCCACGCCCACAGGGGGGGGCGGGGGGGACCATCGCGCGGGGGGGGGGGGCCCAATGGCATCAGATTTGGGGGGGGGGGGGGCCCAAGCCCTGGACCATGTATGTGTAGGTGTGCGCCCGACCCGGGATGAGGGGAGGGCGCTCGCTTTTGACACTTCGCAGAAATAGCTGCGAACGAGACAGGTATTATAGTTACGCTACGCTATTCTGTATAAATAAGGGGCCACCAACTCTGTCGGAGGGGATACATAAGCGGCGCAACAAAAAGGGCTGAGCGGAATGGACACGATGACTGAAAGAGAAATAAAGACGAGAAGAGCGATGCAGATGGTCTCTCGCAGCGTGCCTCTGTGCCGCTCTGGGGAACGGCGTTTCACGCTCCGAAAAGCGCCTGACGGCCTTGACGGCCACCCTCGCTGTTGTCCTTCGCATGGCCTCCTCCTCCTCCTCCTCCTCCTCCTCCTCCTTCTTAGGCTCCCCTCCTCCTCAGGCTCCACCTCCTCCTCCTCCTCCTGCTCCTCCTCTTCCTGCTCCTCCTGATCCTCCCGCTCCTCCTGCTGCTGTTCCTCCTCCTCCTCCTCATCCTGCCCCTGCTTGTCCTCGTGTTCCTCGTCCTGCTCCTCCTCCTGCTCTCTTCCTGCTCCTCCTCTTCGCCATTCTCCTGGTCCTGCCTGCTCCTGCTCCTGCTCCTGCTCCTGCTCCTGCTCCTGTTCCTCCTCATTCTCCTTATCCTGCTCCTGCTCCTGCTCCTGCTCCTGCTCCTGCTCCTGCTCCTGCTCCTGCTCCTGCTCCTGCTCCTCCTCCTCCTCCTCCTCCTCCTCCTCCTCCTCCTCCTCCTCTTCCTCCTCCTCCTACTCCTACTCCTCCTCCCTCTCGTCAAGCCTCTGCAGAGCAGCCGCTGCTGCCTGCGCTGGGGATCCGGCGCCCGCGCGCCAGGCCCAGCCGTGCGTCGAGGTGGCCACCGCGACGGAGCCGCGCGGCGCGCGTGCTTCTGACGCCGACCAGCAGCAGGCGGTCACCAAATGGCTACGGATCTCTCCTCCTCCTCCTCCTCCTCCTCCTCCTCCTCCTCCTCCTCCTCTCCTCCTCCTCCCTCCCTCCTCCCTCCCTCCCCTCCTCCCTCCTCCCTCCTCCCTTCCCCCAGGCCCAAGAGCACGAGAAGGCGACACCACCACCACCAGCGCGAGGCGCCGGGGAGGGTCCTCCTGGTGGTGTGGTCCCCCCCTCTCGCTCGAGGCTCCACCTTCCCCAGCTCGAGGAGGTGGTGGCGGTGGCCCCCCGCGGGGTGGTGGCGTCGCCTCTCCGCCCTCCGCTGACCCTCCCTCGCTCCTCGACCGTATCAACCGCCAGGGCGACCCCAGACTCCGAGACGAGATGAGGCGAAACCCGGAGAGGGACAACATCTGGTCATGACAAAACGGGAGTCGCTAAGATCCGGAGGTTCTCCAGGGATGTATGGGGGCCGCGGCCTCCTCACACAGAGCGTTCTGGGAAACTCTGAGAGCGTTCCGGGGGGCTCCGGAACGATTGAACCCCCGCCCGATGTCACCCGCCAGGGCGAGACCCCAGACTCCGAGACTAGAGTCTGGCCGATTCGGCCCAGATGCGAGGCCTGACCGGCCAGCAGCGCATCCCTCCTCTTCTTCCTCCTTCTCCTCCTCCTCCTCCTCCTCCTCCTCTAGAGGCGCCGTAGATGAGGTCCAGGTAGATGGGGTCCAAGAGTTGCGCGGCACTGTCGATGTGTCGGCGAGCTCTCGGCGACGTCGGCGTGGAGAAAATCGGGCTCCACATCGAGCCGCATCGCCGATGCATCGGCGATACACCCTGCGAAATGCTTAAGAAATCATGGGTTAAGAAAATCATAGTCTCAGATTTTGAATAAGAGCCCAGAACTTGTATTAAAACCTTAGGACTTACATTGAAGCATGAAGAAAAATCGGGACTCTGGCCGAACACGTAAGTTTTCTTAAGTATCGCCTAGGGTGTACGGCGTGATCCTTCGACCCCATCTCCTCCGACCCCACCTGGGAGGCCCATACCCGCCTTACTCCTCCGCCTCGGACGGCCGCTCCGGGAATCCCTTTTGGGGCGGGCCGCCGGACGCAGCCGGCAGTGTCACGGTGTGTCACGTCCCGTGGCGCCTCCGTGACTCACTCGCGTATGTCTGTGTATGTATAAACATATCTACATATGTGGACATGCATGCACATAAACACATACACACACATACACGCATACACATACACATATACACATATACACATATACACATGTACATGCACGCGTAAACACATGTTTCGACAGACATGCACACATACATTCCACTCCACTCCACTACACGACCATACATACATGCATGCATACATACATACACACAAACGCCTGTACGTACATACATACATACACACACACACATCCAAACATACATACCTACATGCGTACATGCACACACATATACATACATACATACATACATACATACATACATACATACATACATACATACATACATACATACATACATACACACATACATACATACATACATACGTTCATACATACATACATACATACATACATACATACATACATACACACATACATACATACAGACAGACAGACAGACAGACATACATACATAGCTACACATATACATACATGCAGTCGCATACACATCTATATATACACACTCGTGCATGCATGCAAACAGATGGACGTACACACAATATACATGCATACATGCAACCATCCATACACCCAAACATACATGCGTATATACGTACATACACGCAAGCATCTATACATTCGTGCATGCATGCAAACATCTGGACGTACACACATACACACATGCATCCATACATACAGACATGCATGCAGACATACATACATGCATGCATGCATGCATGCATGCATACATACACACATACACACAGCCATGTATGCATTCATGCATGCATGTCTGTATGCATGCATGTACACAAATGTACATACATACACGCATACGTACATGCATACATACATACATGCATGCATGCATGCATGCATGCATACATACATGCATGTTTATATATATATGTGCACATGTATACATACATGCAGGCATGCATGCATCACGCATGCATGCATGCATGCGTATATTACATTACGTTCACACTGCATTACAGTAGATTACATTGCATCGCATTGCATTACATTGCAGTACACTGCATATGTTGCGTTACATGAACTCGCACCACATCACATGACATGCCAATCCATCCCATTCCATTCCACTACGCTACGCTACACTACACTACACTACGTTACATCACATTACAATGCAGTACATTACATGACGGCACACATATATATATATATATATATATATATATACATATATAGATGTATACACATAGGTATGGCATGCCCCAACCCCCATAACCATGGTGGAAGCACCGAGCGATACATCGCCGATGCATTGGCGACAGTCCCCCGATGGCGCACCCACACTCTCCGTGGCGAGGGGGGGCTGTCGGACCCCCGTCGGCGACGAGTGGGCGGTGGGGGGGTCGATGCACCCCCACCTCACCCTTTCCAACCCCAACGTTGCCCCCGATGCCCCCTTCCTTGGAGGCCTGAAAATTGGCACCAACACCAGCACAGGGGTTTGCCTCCACAGGGAGATGATGATCTTAGATCTCGGTGTTGGTGGTAATATCTCGGTCACCTTGGAAGCCAGAATATGACCACCATCGCCGAGATCGGGATCGTCCTCCCTCGGTGGAGGCACACCGCCGATCTTGGTGTTGGTGTCAATCTCCAGGGCTCCGACTTCCCCCCCGATCTCTTCCCTCCCTGGGATCCCAAGCAGCCCCCCCGAAAATGCAGCACCGTGAGGCACCACGGCCGGAGCCCCAGACCCCCCCCCTGCCGCGCCACGCCTCGTGCGGGGATCGAGCGGTGAGGCACCTGCAGGGCCCGCACGCGGGCGCGAGCGCGCCCGGCGCGCCCAGGCGGAGACGCCAGGCTCTCAGGGCTCCCCCCCTCTGCGCGTTCTTCGGTTTCGTGCGTGGCTTTGCCTCGCGAAAGGATCCAGGATGCTCCTCGATGGCCCTCGCCGATGGAGACATGCACACGTCCGAGCGATGCCGAGGGGCTCCCCCCTTCGGCGGTGGACAGACCTCCAGCAGACCTCCCTTCAGTGCAGACAGCCTATAGGACCGAAGCCTCCGACCCCTCCCCCCGGGGCCCGAGCGGGCTCTCACGGCTCGAGGTCAGTCGGCATCCGCTGCGGCAGCGGCGGGGGCGTGCAGGGCAGAGGAGAGGCGCGGCACTCCCCCCCACTCCGCCTCCTTCCGCCCTGCGCCATCCTCGTTTTTCTCGTCCTCTTCCCTTGTCACATGCCTCCTGGACCAGGGAGGGGGGGCGGCCTGGGAGAGAAGACCGGAGTGGGCGAGCCTGCAGAGGGAGCTCGGCGCCTTCACTGCACACAGCGTCGCGATTGCGTGGCGGAGGGGGGAACGCGCGGGGGGGAGGACGCGAAGGGGAATGCTGAGGGCCCGACAAGGACAAGGAGATCAGACTGCAGGCGTGGGCCCCCGCGAGACTGGCCTGCGCCCCCGACGCATCATCCGCGTGGCGCGGCACGTGCGTGCAGTGCACGCGGGGCAGCCTGTGGAGCACCGTGCAGAATTAAGTCGGGCGTGTCCCCCTACAGGAGGATTTTGGGCGAAAAATGAACTTTACTCAACAGATACCTCAAAAGTATCAAAAAATGCTAAAAAAATAGTCCCCAGACACTATTTTTGGATACCCCAAAATGGTCAAAAGATGCCCACAAGTTGTCAAAAAGATACCCCTAAATGGATTAAATAATCAGAAGATACCCCAACATTGTCAAAACATACAAGTCCCCAGACTATGCTTGGATTATCTTTTTTCACATTTTTGGTGTTGTTTTTATTTGTTCGTCGAAAATTCCCCTGTAGGGGGACACGCCCGACTTAAATGTAGAATGCATCGCCTGGGGTGTGGAGAAGGATCAGGAGCAGGAGGAGCGGGAAAAGGAAACGAAGGAGGAGGAAGACGACGCAGAGAAGGGGGGATGAGGAGGGGGATGATGATGAGGAAAGGGAGGAGGACAAGGGAGGTAAGGACTGGCAGGGGGAGGCCAAGAGAGGGAGGGGAGAAATGGGAGCACGGCTGCCTTCTCTGGGAGCGTTCTCGTGACTGGGACCTGAGCTGGTCAAAGCTATCGACTGGTATGCACAGGTGGCCACTTGGAGCTGACTCTAAGTCGAACTGGATGGTGCCTGTGCTCCAGTTGATCTCGTAGCCTCCTGGACCAGGAAACGCGAGGCGTTCATGAGATACGTCCGTGGAGAGCCTCGCGGGCAGTGGCTGGCGTCAAATGGTAGCGGAGCGGGCTGCTCCGCAACCAACTAAGAATGAAGATGTGCGGTAAGTTTGAGGTAACCAGAAAGTAGAACACATGTGTAGCACGAGAATACCACAAGCACGATAGCTTAACCTACCGTGCCCCAAAGCAAAGACGGGACTGGAAAAATGAGACGAATGAAAGAGGCAAAGGCAGGGGTAGAGCGAACAGCTAGCGTTCGCGAGGAGGAGGAGAAGGAGGAGGAGGAGGAGGAGGAGGAGGAGCAGGAGGACGCGGGGAAGAGGAGGATGAGGAGACCGGTGGGGGGCAGGAGGGAAGCGGGAAGCGGCTCTCAACTCCGTCGTCTTGGATACAAAAAGTACAAGCAGGACAAAAGCGGGGAACGATGAGGAGGAGGAAGGTGGGGAGGGGGGGAGCAGGCCAGGAAGGATGAGGAGGAGTAGGGAGAGGAGAAGGATAAGGAGCAGGAGGAGCGGGAAGAGGAAACGAAGGAGGAGGAGGAGGACGACGAAGGAGAGAAGGGGGGAAGAGGAGGGGGATAATGATGAGGAAAGGGAGGAGGACAAGGGAGGTAAGGACTGGCAGGGGGAGGCCAAGGGAGGGAGAGGAGAAATGGGAGCACGGCTGCCTTCTCTGGGAGCGTTCTCGTGACCAGGACCTCGGAAGATCACCACGGACACGGTGAGGCTGTTATCCGGCTCCACCTTTAGTGAAATAGATGGTCGTCAACGGTCGCGCGCTACCCTCTAACTCGCCCACCTCCTCCTTCTCGTCAGAGTGTCTCAGGATGCAGGAGGAGGAGGAGGAGGAGGAGGAGGAGGAGGAGGAGGAGGAGGAGGAGGAGGAGGAGGGGAAAGGGGAGGAAATCGAGGACGATGTTTTGTGGAGTTCCAGGGAAGCATCCAAATCTTTGAAGGAGCCCGATCTGCTCTGGAAACGGGGGGGAATAAAATTCCCCCCCTCCCCAGGAACCGGGAGGTGGATACGTGTGGAAACAGGTTCAGACCATTGCGAAAGGCATGGGAATGGGATTCCAGGTCAAGGGTGGGTTCTGGTTGGTAACCATAGGTTTCACCACATCTATAGCACCATGTAGGTTAAACCACAGATATTGCCCCGCAAAGATGCGTTCCAGAGATACTGCTCTTCATAAGTGTCTGCACAACATCTTCTCCTCCTCCTCCTCCTCCTCCTCTTCCCATCTTCTCCTCCTCCTCCTCCTCCTCCTCCTCCTCCTCCTCCTCCTCCCCTCTTCAACCCCCCAGAGGAGTTATCAGCGGCGCACAGCGGCCAGCATCTGCGCGCGCGGTTCCGCGGCGGCAAGCCCTTCCATGAGGACGGCTGGCTCCAGGGCGGCCTCCGTCTGGTAGCGGGCCCACTATGCGACCCCGCGGGCCTTGTTGGCCGCGACCGCGGCCAAGGTCGCGGCCCGAAGCCCGTCGGTGTCGGGCTCGGGCGCGTCTGCGGCCGCGGGCGCGGCCTCGGCCATCTCCGTGGACGAGGCCTCGGCCTCGCTGGCCTCGGCCGCGGCCGCCTCGGTCGTGGCGGCCGCACTGGCGCCGAGGCGCTGGCGTTTGTGGGTGGGCGGCATGGCTTGCTGCGAGGAGAGGCGTTCGGCGTTGCAAAATGCCTCCTCCTCCTCCTCCTCCTCCTCCTCCTCCTCTTCCTCCTTGTCCTTCTCCAACCCTCTCCTCCTCCTTCTCCTACCCCTCCTCCTCCTCCCTCCCCCTCCTCTCATCGTGCCCATCAGTTTCATCATCGGTTGTATAGTGGGTCATTGCTTCGGCATTCTCGTCGGTCGTATCTGAAGGCGTGTCGTATGCTCAGTCTGACACTGCGCCGTAGCCTAGATCTTACTTTACGTATCACCGTAAGGCCTATGTCGGCCATACATTGAACAATAACGTTTGTTTAATTAGGGATTACTGTAAAACGTAATTCAGGCCGCCTGTTCGGTCTAGCATTCTCCTACGTCATATTACCATCCTTATCATGGGCCGCACCCTAGGTCGCCAAGGGTATCATACCAATCATTTATCTTAGCCAGCGTGGATCCCACACAGTGTGCTTATGACACGTTATGTTGTGCAACCTATGTGGTGCAATGTATGTGGTGGAATATATGTGGTACAACCTATGGTGTGCAAACTATGTGGGACCAGCTATACATGTGGTAATGTGCGACCTATGATGATCAATATGCACTGTGCAATCTATGTGATACAATCCGCCGACCCTTCGGCATGTGTGAGACGCTGTCGCCGTCTTCATCGCCGCCGTCGTTGTCGCCAGTCCCAAACATTGAGGAACGAACAGAGAAACGAAGCGTCGTAGTGAAGTCGACCCCCTCCCCTCTTTCCCTTCCCTGACGGGAGGGGGGTAGGGGCGGGAAAGGGGAAGGGAGGGGGGGGGTCCCAGGTCAGGTTGCTGCCCCTCGGGGGTCCCGGCGACCTCCGTGGCGTGGCCCTTCCTGTGGACAGGGGGGACAGGGAGGGGCCCCCCCGTGGGGGGAGACCAGCCCTGGTCCCGGGGGAGGAGGAGGAGGAGGAGGAGGAGGAGGAGGAGGAGGAGGAGGAGGAGGAGGAGGAGGAGGAGGAGGAGGAGGAGGAGGAGGAGGAGGAGGAGGGGCCCCCCGTGGGGGGAGGCCAGCCCTGGTCCCGGCCCTGGCCCCCCGCCCCCGCGGCCCAGGCTCTGGGCCTGGCCGTGGCCGCTGGGGCCCCAGGGAGGGACGCCCGGGGTGCCGGAGAGGTCCCGCCTGCAGGGTCGGCGGCACCAGCTAAAGGCCTTCACATAGGGCGACGAGATCTATACATATCCACTGCTCCTGGCCAGGCCCATCCTGGGCCCAGGAGCTGTGTATGTGCCTCCCTGGCCAGGCCAGGAGGGCGTATACACCGCTCCTGGGCCCAGGATTGGCCTGGCCAGGAGCAGTGGATCTGCATAGATCTCGTCGCCCTATCACAATACATGCGGTACAACCTATGCTGTGCGATATGTGGAGCAGGGCTGACCCCAAACGGTGTTTTTCGTTTTCGTTTCGTTTTCGTTTTCCCTCGTTTTGTCTTCAGTCCGCCACTACCGCAGAACGGCATCGAAGCGAAAACGGCCCACGAAATCGCCAAAACACGGTTTAGGTCCAGCCCTGATGTGGAGCACTCTATGTGGTGCAAGGCATGTGGTGCAATCTACGTGGTGCGATCTGTTGTGCAGCCTTTGTCTTGCAGCCAACGTGGTGCCGTTTATGTAGTGCGAGCAATGTGGTGCAATGTCTGCGGTGCAGTCTGTGTGGTTCGCAGTATATGTGGTACCATATGTGTTGTGCATTCTAACTATGCTGTGCAATACATCTTGTGTAACCTGTTGTGCAATATCGGAAGTGAGGGGTGAGGTCGTAGTGGAACGGAGAACCCCCAACCAGGAAATCGACCTAGGGTTCGTGTTCGTGTCGTGCGTGCGGGCGAGGCGAAGCTGGATGAGCGGGCGACAGGAATGAACCCTTTTCTATCTAGGGCGCTGCCAAGTCAAAGCCCGCCCCCCCCCTGTGCGTGGGATCTCCCGCATCGGTGTTCCTTGGTGTCCCGTAGTGTCCCGTGGTGAACCGTCGGTGTCCCGTAGTGAGATCGATAGTGAGATCGATAGTGAGAGAGATAGTGAGGTCGATCGTGACATCAATAGTGAGATCGGCACTGAGACCGATAGTAACATCCAAAGTGAGACCGACCGTGAGATCGATGGTAGGATCGATAGTAAGATCGATAGCGATATTGATAGTGAAATCGATGGGGATATCGGTAGTGAGATCGAAAGAGAGATCGACTGTGAAATAGTGAGAGGTATGGTGAAGTCGAATGTGAGATATATAGCGAGATCGATCTGTAATATCCATAGTGACATCGACACTGACATCGGCCGAGTCAGATCGATAGTGGGATTGATAGTGAGGTCGATAGTGAGGTCGATAATGAGACGAATAGTGAGATCGATATTGAGAGGGATAGTGAGATCGATTGTGAGATCGTAAGTACGATCGATTACGATATCGATAGCGATAGTGAGATCGATCGAGTGACATCGATAGTGAGATAGCTGGTGAGACCGATAACTAATGAGATCGATAGTCAGATCGATAGTAAGATCGTTGGTGAGATCGATAGCGAGATCGGCAGTGAGATCGATAGTGAGATCGATGGAGTGAGACGTTGGTTCCTCCACCCGAGCCTCCATCTCATCCGAAGGGTGGTCGCAAAAGTATGTTGTGCAATCCATGCTGTGCGCACTATGTGGTGCGATCTATTGGTGGTGCAGGCGCTGCTGCGGCGACGAGGTGGCGACAGGGCGCCGACTACGGGAACGCCGCCGCCGGACCGAAGACACGGTCCGACGACGGGCGGCGACGAGGTGGCGACGGGGGCGGCGACGGCGGGGACGCCGCCGCCAGACCGAAGACACGACCCAGCTCCTGCAGCAGAAGAGAGAATTTTTTCCTCTGCGAGCCAGTGGGCAGGACCGAGGGCGGCGACAGTTAGCCGACATGCGCACACAGATGTGCGACTCAGATGTGGAAGCGCAGCGGGTCGAAGAGCAGCGCGGAGAAGAGGAAGGAGGATGCGGAGGACTGGCACGGGAAGGGACGGACCGGGGCGGGAAGGAGGGCGGGGAGCACGGAGGACGATCGGCCGCACCACTGCGAGGGGCTTGATGAACGTTTTGGCAGGGGCCTGGCATGGGCGTCGGATCTGGCGCCGGATGCTCCATACGACGTGCAGCTATAGGCGCGAGTGGTCCCATCGGGCTGGTTTTATGTGTGATGAGCGTTATCGATGTCCTTCCACATCCCGATGACTGGAGAGAGATCGTGTAGGCTGCTGGCGAAGGACGGTGACTGAAGCAATCCCCAGGGACTGGTTCAGTCAACGTCCTTCGGAGTCATTGCACAAATATTCAATGTACCCTTCCTTCGCAGTTATCGTCACTCCCGATGCAGGCACAAAGACAACAGGACACCGACACACGGCCTACAGAGCAAACTTGGGAGTCCCTCAGCTGTCCCCAATTCCACAACCCTTGGTCCCACGAGTCGCCAATGCAAGAGCCGCCCATGTCAGGCGACGAGACCACCGCCAGCAACAGACCAGAACCGATTGCACGAGGCGATGCACAGGTGGTGCTCGCGAGCACCTGCGCCAGCACGCCAGCACGCGAGCACGCGCGCAGGCCCCCGACCTCCGAGCCCCCGGAGGTGCGCCACGATGCTCTGCTGCAGGCCCCCGGCGCCCTGGCCCTCCACTCGGAGAGCGCAGCCCGAGGCAAGCGAAACCTCCGGCGAGGACCCCGTGCGAGCCCCCGTCACGGCACAAACAGACGTTCTCGGAGGTCCGGGCGGACTGTCTGCATCGGCGCTGGACCCCCGTCCCCGGCGAGGGACCCGCGCGGACCTCCGAGAATTCGTGCTCATGCCAGTTTTCGAGCCCCCCGAGCCCCCGCACTACAGGCCTCCCAGATAGGGTCGGAGTAGGTGGGGTCGGAGAATCGCGCCGCATCGCCGATGCATCGGCGATGCGGGTCGATGTGGAGCCAGCAGTTCCCCACACCGACGGCACCGATGCGTCACCGACGTCGGAGGAGACGCATCGCTGGTGCATCGCCGCTGCATCGCCGAATCATCGCCGATGTATCGACGATGCGGCGCGATCCTCCGGCCACATCTACTCCGAACCCACCTACAGAAACCAGAACATCCCCCCCAAGAGAAAGCACCCCCACAAGCGAAGCTGTTATAATAAACGCACTCATGGGAGGAACCGAACAGGGCAGGCCTGTTCAGTGAACGCCCAGGGCCGCTGAGTGAACGCCAGTTATCGGGGTCGGGGTGGCTTTTCCTCCCTTGAATCTGGGAGGCCTCTGAAAACACGCAGCAGCGCGGTGTCGGGTCCGCCCGGCATCCGAGATGGGTAAGAAGAGAAGGCCGGCGCGGGGGCGCGCGCGGACCTCTCGGAGCCAGTCGATCCCGAAATCGTCGCAGCCGTTGACGGAGGTGTCCACGAAGTTGTGCCTGGCGCGGGTCTCGGGTCGGGCGAAAGGGGGGGATAGCAAAGGGGGGGTTTGAGAATCAGCTCACGTAGCTGACTGTCCCGGCGCCTCCCGGCGCCGGAGGCGGCTATGTATCGAGGAATGGGCCCCTCGGTGGGGCCGAAACCAGCTGCATGCAGCAGATTTCGTACCCCCCCCTTTCCCAATCCCCCCCTTTCGTCCGGCCCGAGGGTCGGGGGGCGAAATCAGGGCAGGGACAAAGTCGGACCTGGACAGACGGAAGCCGTCCGAGATCCCGCAGTTCTGGAGGACGCGTCGGGCGCCGCGGCCTGCTCCGAGCTTTTTCTGGAGCGAGCGCATTCCCGTACGCTCTGGAACGATGTATGAAGGGGCCCCAGGACACACTAATAAATACACACAAATCAAAAGATTCCCGATATTTTCACATATTTTCTGGGTTTCCGTCTTCGCCCCCACTTCCCATATTTTCCAATATGTTCTGGGGAACCGACGATTAATTGTGTCTGTGCTTTTTTTCCCTCCTGAATGTATCCCTGTCCTGGCTCCGCCCGAGGGCTGCTGGGGTGGGGCCAGGCCCGCGCGGTGGAGGGCGACGGCCCTGGGCGAACGCTCTTGGAGACGGTGTGGGGGGCTTTGGATGGCTTGGGGGGTTTCGTGCAGTCGAACGCATGTGTTTTGAGAGCGCGGGGGGAGGGGGACGGTCGCCTCAAGCCGCTGGCACCCGCCGGGGCCCCAGGAGAAACCCTCAAGGCGTCTCAGAAACTCAGTGGAACCTCGTTTCTCCCCATTGTTGTTTGCCTTGATCTGATTTGTTTCATAACGTGTCCCCTGCGGACCCATTCCCCGACGCCAGCTTTCCATCCGAAATCGTTGTTTGAAGGTCCCGGGGCTGAATGGCCCAAGGAAGCAAAACATTGAGCAACACCCGACACAACAACAGTGCGAGGTCTGGGTCCACATATCGAGGGGGAGCGATAAGGGGGGACCAACTCAGGGGGAGCGAAGCCGCAAATTCCTGGGTAAGGCGGGCTCTCAAGCCCCTGTCGTCGAGGAGTGGGCAACTGGTGGTCGACGCATCCCCCTGAGCCTATCCCTTACGAGCGGTGCCCTTGACGCCCTCCTCCTCCCCCTCCTCCTCCTCCTCCTCCTCCTCCTCCTCCTCCTCCTCCTCCTCCTCCCCCTCCTCTGCCTCCTCCTCCGACTGCTTCCTGTCGTCTCGGCGTCGGCGTTGGTTTCTGACACCGCGTGGATCGTTCAACCTCGACGGATCGCGGCTCACCGATGGAGCAGGTCGTTCGATAGCGGCCGATAGGGGCCGCTGGCGGCAATCGACTTTGAACGCACGCGCCGGGGTCGCCGCCGCGTTGCCGTGGCGCGAACCTGCCGTGTTCTCTCACATCCCCGTCCTCCTCAAACTCCTCCTCCGACTCTCTGCACACGCCTCCACCACCAGGTACTCCCTCAGCATCCTCGTCATCATCCTCGGCCACAGCCGCCGCCTCCTCACTCCCAACATTTTCATCACCCTCCGCTTCCTCCTCCTCCTCCTCCTCCTCCTCCTCCTCCTCCTCCTCCTCCTCCTCCTCCTCCTCCTCCTCCTCTATCCAGGCGTCTGAAGGGCTCGTTTAGCGACTCGCCCTTCACGTCTACACGCAATACCACCGAACGAGTGCTACGCAAATCTGCCCTGTGAATCTCCCAAGAACGCGTAGGAAGTCACATGGCGTCTCGATGTTTTAATGTCGTGGTTTGATCTCCTATGCAGCTTGGGCGTGGCCTTGAGATTAACGTACCAGACTAAGGATATCTTGTTCATGACGGGCACGCGTGTCCGACGGCTCCTCAATGGAGACCCCTGTGCATGACTGGGGCTACAGTGGCACGCCGTTCTCAAATGCACACACGGGGGGTGTCCAGCGCAGCCTGCGCAAGGATCTCTTCCGCCTAAGCCATATTGCGCAGACCGACTCACCAAGTGAGACACTACAGGGGCGAGCGGGCGCTGTGGTCCTCAAGTCAGGCAGGTTTCACATCCTGTGGATTGTCGCTAACTTTCCTCCTCGACCTCCCGCTGCTCGGCATGTCTACCCGGCACCGTGCCTGCAGCATGTAGTGGAGCCCCCCAAGGCTCACGCAGCCCTGGGAAGTTCAGAGTTGCAAGGTTAAGACGTTTTGAGGGCCCGAGCCACCGGTTTCACCCAGATGTCTGAGGATTTCCGGGGATTCCCCAGGAGTCTCCGGGCGCGTCGCGCGCGTCCCCCGGCAGCGCAGCCGGCAAAACATGGGCCCAAACTGTGAGAGGGATGATCGGGCAACGCTACCAGTCTGCTATGCCCACCCCCTTCGGGATGGCGCCTGCGAAGGGCACGCGGCCGCAAGACGCCCCGCAGAGACGCGCGCGCCTTGAGGGCCACGCGCAGAGAGGAGTCTGCAGGTGTCGCCACCGGCCTGGCCTGGGGCGTCTCCCGCACCCCTCCCCTTACGACGCGCGATCACGCACGTCATCGGGTGGCGGAAGTAGAACAGGAGATGGAGCAGACCTGGCCGGGCAGATCTCGCAACGACAGCAATCCAGAAGAGGCGGTCGGAGAAAGGCGTCAAAATGTGCACTTGGGGGGACAGAGACCACAAGATGGACGCGTGTACACGACGTCACAATGGGCACCTGAAAGCAAAGTAAGAACAGGTTATAGATTGCGGGCTGGCCAACCACTTTGTAGGAAAAGAACCTGAAAATCACTTGGCGACAACGACCGAGAAAGGAAGCGACGACAACGAGCGCGTCTCTCGACAGACACCGGTGAGAAGGCAGAACAAGAGAGAAGAAATGTTGAGAAAAGCGCGAGGAAGAACGTGTGCATGTGCACCAGTGGGAAGGCATAACAGCCCGAGGGGCGCGAGCTCGGCCCTGGAGCACCTAGAGCGCGACGACCCCCCGACGAGAGACGACATGACAAGATAAGAAACAAGACAATGATGAAGAGGAACGCGTCGATATGTACCTGTGGGGAGGCAGAACAATGCGAGCTCGACGCAAGTCCGCAGGGCTCATCTGCCCACAGGTCCTGGTCGACAAGAGCCGAGCTTTGGTCACCTCGAGCACGTATTTTGGTGCTCCTTTTGAAGGAAGTGCCAGTTCGCGGGGCTGCGACCCCCCCGCAGAGGTTTCTGAACAAGAATGGAAGAGAAAGAGAGAGAGAGAGAGAGAGAGAGAGAGAGAGAGAGAGAGAGAGAGAAAAAAAAAAAAAGAAAAAAAAAAACACAAATAAAAACAAAATCCGCCGGCCCCCCTGTGGGGCCACCAGGCTGCGAGGCGCGGGCTCGCAGTTTCCAGTGCCAATTGTAGCTTGTAGTTTCCAGTGTTACAGTTCTGCTTCTTGCTGGCCACTGCAAGTAATTGATTGACCGCGCGAGGGGGGGGGGCCCAAACCAAATTTTTAGCGTCTCCTGGGCGCGTCGTCTGAATTGCTGGGGGGCTCGAAATCGACACCCCTCGCGCAGATCCGCGGGGCCAGGGTCCAAAAACACATGGGATTTGCCGCATTTCTGAAATTCGGCGCCGCCCCTCGCGCAGATCCGCGGGGTCAGGGTCCAAAAACGCATGGAATTTGCCACATTTCTGAAATTCGGTGCCACCCCTCACGCAGATCCGCGGGGCCAGGGTCCAAAAACGCATGGAATTTGCCACATTTCTAAAATTCGGTGCCACCCCTCACGCAGATCCGCGGGGTCAGGGTCCCAAAACGCATGGAATTTGCAACATTTCTGAAATTCGGTGCCACCCCTCGCGCAAATCCGCGGGGTCAGGGTTCAAAAACAAAAGAGATTTGCCACATTTCTGAAATTCGGTGCCACCCCTTCGCGCAGATCCGCGGGGTCAGGGTCCAAAAACACATGGGATTTGCCACATTTCTGGAATTCGGTGCCACCCCTTCGCGCAGATCCGCGGGGGCAGGGTTCAAAACCAAAGGAGATTTGCCACATTTCTGAAATTCGGCGCCACCTCTTCGCGCAGATCCGCGGGGTCAGGGTCCAAAAAAAAGAGGGGATTTGCCACATTTCTGGAATTCGGTGCGACCCCTCGCGCAGATCCGCGGGGTCAGGGTCCAAAAAACACAGGGGATTTGCCACATTTCTGGAATTCGGTGCCACCCCTCACGCAGCTCCATCACAAGGCGCGGCAACCCAAACTGCGAGAACTCCCTCGGCCCTTTAATCGCAAGGTGTGGTAACCAAGCCCACCACACACGTCTTACCAATCGCCAGGTGTGGTAACCCCTCTTGTGATCAGTTGGTTTTGCTGATTGCGAATCGGCTTCGCATGAAGTTTCGACGCTGCTTCACGACGGCGCCAAGGCCTCATGACTTAGCTCTTCCATGGCCCATTCTCCGAGAGAGGGGGCCGGCGGCAGGGGGCGAAGCCCTTGCGGATATAAGAAAACAAAGAGAGAGAGAGAGAGAGAGAGAGAGAGAGAGAGAGAGAGAGAGAGAGAGAGAGAGAGAGAGAGAGAGAGAGAGAGAGAGAGAGAGAGAGAGAGAGAGAGAGAAAGAAAGAAAAACAAGAGAAGAGAGAGAGAGAGAGAGAGAGAGAGAGAGAGAGAGAGAGAGAGAGAGAGAGAGAGAGAGAGAGAGAGAGAGAGAGAGAGAGAGAGAGAGAGAGAGAGAGAGAGAGAGAGAGAGAGAGAGAGAGAGAGAGAGAGAGAGAGAGAGAGAGAGAGAGAGAGAGAGAGAGAGAGAGAGAGAGAGAGAGATAGAGAGAGAGAGAGAGAGAGAGAGAGAGAGAGAGAGAGAGAGAGAGAGAGAGAGAGAGAGAGAGAGAGAGAGAGAGAGATCGGACAAGTAGGCGGACCAGGGTCCGTCCGCGAGGCGCACTGCGGTGCGACAACTCGCAAGCACTATTTGCGGCGGTGCAGCCTTAAGATACGAGGGCGGGCTACAAAACCCCCTCCCCCGGCGCAGTGCGACTGACGCTACAGACGGCGGACAGACGATGAAGATCTC